TTTTGAGATTCAATAATTTCATCTTATTTTCTTTTCTTAATTTTTACGATTTTCACATCCAAAATCATATCTTCTAATAGACATACTAATTATATGACTTTCAATTACAAAAATTAAATTAAACTAAAATAAAAGTTAAAAAAAAAACACGACTTGGTATTGCGAGAGAGGGAACAATTGGCTTTTATCACAAGACCAATTAATATTGATTCTTGATCACTATCAATCGCTGGGTTGTTGAACTGCAAAAGATTAGAGAGCTTTAGTGTTCTTTGTTCACTCTGCTCAGATTTAATTGATGAATTCATCATACACAGAAGTTGTGGACCTGTGGTCTTTGATTCCCGTAAGTGTGTCCTACGAGAGATACGTTTATCTTCCTCTGATGTTACAGAATTCTAACAGTTTATTACAATTGGCAGAGCAATTTTTTAGGTAAGTAGTTAAAGTGATAATAGACCTATCAATAAAATTTGACTCCTCTTAAATTAGCCCATCCAAAATATATATATACCCAAAAGTAAAACTCTTAACAAGGAACCCCAAAAATCTATAAAAAATTGTGAGGCTCTAGGCAAACAGCTAAATGGCCTAGGTCTAGGGCGACCCTAACGCAGAAGAAAGTTAAAAATGCTAGTATATATATATATTAAGAATGGTGTAAAGACTAGAAGGTACACAAAACCTCGACCAAGGTATATATTGTTCGAGTCGACTAAAGTTAGACTCTTCTTAGTGACTATATCAAAAATTGATCGAAGATTTAAAGAATAAGCAAGATTTATAGTGGTTCATCGACATTGATTAATCCATTCAAATAGAGTATTTTGCTTCTGGGAGGGGGAATTATGTTATTACTTGCTAAGAACAAACGGGCTTACAAATACTCTTTCCCGGTGAAGATCTTTGATTTTTGTAAGTCATTGGCAACACCTTCCCTTATTAACCAGGATTTTCTCCAAGTATTGCTAGACTGTTAGAGTAAATATCTCATCAATTTATGGGGAGTGCATCCCTTCTTGATTGTAAGTCTGCTTCTCCATGATCGCTGGAGTAACGCACGTATTCTTTGTTGTTGAGACTACTCAGCCTTCCTTTTCGAGAACTTGTGGGGGTGAAAAGATCCAGTTGGATGAACTATACGCTTAATTGTCCTTATTTGTCGAGCTCGTTTTCCAACCTAGAGGTCTTATATGAACTCTGCCAGCTCGTGACGAAGCCCTTCGGAGAGCTGGTCATTACCCAGGTCCTTTTCAAGTTTGGGCTAGGCCCTGCCCCAATTGTTGCTCCGGTTGCAGCCCCAGAAGTTGCCCCTGCTGTCGTTCCTTAGAGTGAGCTGGATGATAGTGCTGCTTCCAGGAGGAGGCTTCGCGGGCCTTCTGCCGCCCCCGGACCCTTGAATCCTGGGCTGTACTAAACTGGAACTTCAGTTGGAGCTGATTGTAAAGAAAGGGCAACTCCTCTAAGTTGAGATTGAGAGAGATAGATTGGCCAAGAAGAATGCTCGGCTAAAGGAGCAGGTAAGGGAGCTGAAGAGGAAGAAACCCAAATCCTGATGAGCAGCCTCTTAGTACATTCTCCTGCAACAACCTAGCCAATCATGGCTCGTCATCGAATCCCGGGGTGGTTTTGAAGAGTTTTGATTCTGGTAGTTTCCTCTATTTTTTTGAATGTAATTTCTTTACCTCAAATGCTTCTTTGAGTAAACATGTATAAATTTTGTAAGTTCGATCACTTTGTAAAGTTTCGGTTTCATTATTTGCCCGAATGAGCTACAAAACATTGTTTTCCCTTTTGCAAAGTCGTAACTTTTTAAGGGCGTATTGCTAGATCGAGCTAAAACGTCCTTTTTCACAAGTAACCCATTGTGATCTCGGAGCACTTCCATGAGCTTAGCGCAGAGGATGATTTGAAGAGCTTTCTGTCGAGTCGAGTTGTTGGAGCTCTTACATGAGTTTTAGGACTCATTGTGAGTTTTGATGCTCTATAAGCCGAGCAACTTATCGCAAAGACGAGCCGAAAAGATTTGCCTTCTTTTTATAGGTTAGAACTGATATTGGTGGGACTTTTCTAGAATATTCCATGATGAAGACACGTGTCCTTGGTATTTACTAAAACACTTGCTAAGATCAAGCACCATCGGCGCATAAAGGTCCTCGCCTCCGAGGTACTCGTCATATAGGATCATGGCATTCAGTACGAGTTACAACCAACACGTTGCCTCGGTCCGATATGGTACCTCGGTCGGTATACCTCCTTCGGTTCCGAGATGGCCTTTCCTCAGTGCCGAGAGGTACCCTGTCCTGGACGCTTCCTCTACTCCAGGATAAGCTATTGACGTATAGGTCATTAGCTTAGGCTAGTCTAGGCTATTCATCATGACCTCGTCTTACACAATTAGTGTCAGAACGTATTGGAATGCAAGGGCCACAGCCAATGGGGGATGGACGCGTGGCGTATGATATCACATCGAAGACAAAGAAACCGCATGCCGTTGCTGACACGCGACTTGGGAAAACAAACGATTAATTACACCATTCCCTTGATGAGACCGCATTCAATGCGGTAAGGCTCGAAAATGAAAGGCAATAAATGCTCCTAATACAGAGCATTTATTGCATCCTTCCCGAGAGGAGTACATTGTACCGTCGGCATCCCGATGACCCAGCATTGATTGCTCGGGACCCCGAGCAGTTAAGAAGAGAAGACATTCCTCATCAGAATCAGTGCGCACACTGCTTGTACCTAATGATCACCTACTGACTACACTGACAGCAATCATGAGTTTTTGAGGTATAAATACTCCTTGCAAAAGGCAAGACGGGGTATGCAACAAAAAACTCTTTACTACAATACCCACTCAGTGTTTTCTCCTTCCTCTCTCTCTCTCTCAAAGACTGACTAGATCGTCGGAGGGAATACGCCGGAAAACACTCCGGCGCTCTTCTAACTTGTTCTTCTTTGTTCCAGGAACCCCTTTCGGCCTTACTGGATCGTTCTTCCGCTCCCCCAGGGTCTCCCGTTGCCGTTCCAGGTTATCACCGGACCTCGCAGGCTGTTCCAAACAGCGTGGTTGGTTACTCAACTGGCTCACTCGAGTTCTCTAAGGGAGAGATCTGTTCTCATTTTTTATATTGTGCAGGATCTTGCACGCACAAATATTATAATAATATCATTCAATGAATGTCTCACCTTTAAACAGAAATTAGGGTTACGCCGCTATTTAGCTCCCATGGATACACGCTTAGCGACAGTGCGAATCAAATGTAGCCATTAGACCGGACCGAAAAGGCTGAAGAATGTATTTCATGATTGTAATATCAAGTGTCATCACATATGGGTTGCGAAAATGTTGTAGGTAACGGGACATTGGATCAATGTCATGTGATGTCACCAATCTATTATAGAATATTAAGTGAATTTAGTGAGTTTCAGTATTTTAATAATTATCAATAATTCTTATGTTAAAATAATAGGGTTCACTAATCTTATTTGTTGTGTTATTATTTATGGTTTTTCACACTTTGCACTCTGAAAGATGTCTCGATTCTTTTTTTGTAACTTGAAATATTATTTTTTTCATATTGCACCCTGAATATTATAAATTGGTTTCAATGTGGACTTTGGACTAACATCTGTGTCAAATTTCATTAAAAATTGATGTATATGCTACCAAAGAATATGAATTGTGAGCTTGTAGTTTTGTCCAAGAGCAATACACATGGATGACATGTGCATTAATTTTTAATAAAATCCAAAATAGATGTTAGTCTGAAGGTCATATTAGAATTAATTAATGATATTGATGGTATAATATGAGAAAAATAATCTTTCTAGATGCAAAATGAGAATCAAGACATCTTTAAGGATGCACAGTGCAAAAGGCCATATTATTTATACATTAAGATGCAATGTACATCAATTTTGTTAAATAGCATTCAATTATTCTTTGCTTATAACTTAATGTCAATGCTAACATTACAGTGATATTTTGTTAACAATAACTTCTCCTATCAAACCAAACTAACAAACTATGCATAAAGAATTTCTAAGCGTGTGCGTGCTACCTCCTTCAACAATGATGATTTTTTTTTTTGTACCTAAACGGGCTTTGCTAAGCGATAACTAAACTACGGTTTAGTAGCATTTTTCAAAAGTAACTTGAGCAAAATAAGTTATAAAAACAAAAAACTATAGCAGGGGTGGCCTGAGACATTTTTGGGGCCTAAAGTAGAAACGATAAATGAGGTTTTTTTATTTTTAATATTAATAATAAATTTAATTTTTAAATTTTTTAAATACAAAAATATTAATTAAATTTTTATATTCAAATTTTTGTTATCATATTTGAACTTAAGGTAAGAGAGAAAGAGAGAGAAAGAATAATTGAAAAAATGGTAAGTTTAAACTTGACTTTTTTTAGTGTTAAAACTAGATTTTTTAGTAGCTTTAGTTTTACATTTAGTTTTTTTTTCTTTAGTTAAAAAATAAGTTTTAAGGTCTTTTAATTTTATAGCCGAATTAATAGGTCCAATTTATTTAATTTAAAATATTTTGTTTAGGTATAGATTTAAATTTTTTGTTTGGACTATTACTGTACACCTATAAATTATGGATCATTTTTGAATTGAGGTATTAAATTTTTTTTTATTAAACTTATATTTCTATAAGACATGTTGTAAGACTTAAAATATTTATAGATTTAATTTTTTTACATGAACTATTTATAATATTTATAAAATTTAAGGCCTTCTTTAAAAATGGAACCTAAAGCTTAATTTTTTTGATAAATACTGTTGAGCCGCCCTGAACTATAGTAATCCATCACAATCTTTGTAGATTTATAAAATATCTATATATTTGCATATATGTTGTACCATATATGCTATTAAACGAGTACGAATACAATAGTAAACATTACTTTAGAAAAGACATCAAAAAGTACTAACAACTTTTGGTTTTCTTGATATGAAATATAGCATAAATCTCTCTTTATTCATCTAGGATAAAAGTACAAGAAAAATAACACCAAATTAATGGCCAACAAATTAGCAGAAAATATCTGTAACATTCACCAAAACTGAGTTTTTTTTTTCTTTTTCTGTTTGTCTAGACTGCAATAATATAAAGTGCATATAACTTTTATTTGATCCACATCGGCGGAGCCATCCCTAACATTTTTGATCATCTTGTGCCCATCTCGGTTTCAATCAAGTCATGCTAAGCAAAATGATGCACCAGATTCTGCAATCTTTCTGTTATTCTTGAAGTACATATGCCAATTCTTGCATATAAAGCCTGCAAATATTAATCCGAGTAGTAATATTAATATTCGTTAATACTTGAGCTAAAAATTTGCTCCTACCTAGTAGAACAAGAAAGACATAAATGGTTTACCCGAGTAATAAAAAGACGATAAAAGAAAAAAATGATGACAAAATTCAAACTCAAAAACTCCTATTACAATTTTTCTCAATTTTTTTCTCTTCGTTTCTATCACATCAGCTAGTTGGTTAAAAACCAATTTCGTACACAAGTTTCTCTTGTAGCTGCAAAGGTTAATGACGAGCAAGAGCCTTATCCCCAATGCTTATCAACTGTTTCTAGTATTAGAAATTTGATAATCTTGGGTCATGAAAATATTAGGTACAAATAGGCTCATAAACTAAAGGGCAAGACTGAGGATATTGATGAGGGCTCTGACCAAATTTATGATTGCTAGGCACAGTTTTTAGATGTTTTAGCTCTGCATCACATTATACTCTGAAAAATTGCATGCAACTCAAATTTGAATTCTAAATGATATCTCAAATGAAAAGGAATTATAAGATGAGTGAGTTTCATTAATTTTTTTAAATAAAATCACTAATTTAATGATTCTTATTGATTTGAGATGCCATTTGAAATCTCAAATTTAAGTTATATGGCATTGCTTATACTCTTGTTCTATCCATAAAAAAAGACTTAGACTACGGTATTGTTAAAAAAAATTTGGTACCATATGTTAAAAAAATATTATTTTAAAAGTTGTTTTCATAATTTGTATAGACCATTTTACAACCAAAAATGTTATAACTTTTGCGATTGATTTACCACTTTTATGAATATTATTATCACTGTTGTGGTTTTTTTTTTATCATATTTGTGGTAATTATTTTTATCAATTTTATGAGGGATTTATCATATTTGTGAATGTTTTTACGACTATAACAATTATTTTTACCATTTTTTTAAATACCATAATAGGGATAAAAATATTCACATATATAATAAAAATAACCTTAAAAATGATAAATAAAGATAAGATATCAAAAAAAAAAAAAATTCGATTCCTTAATTAAATCCATAAAAAAATAAGGTGGATATGTGGAAGAGCCTCCTGCTATTGTCGGATGAGGGTCAGTATGGAGCATTACCCTGCATGCGTACAGACTCCTATAACTCGAACTCTTGTAAAATTAAAGTGCCCAAGAGATTAGTTAACAATAAGTAATTGGCGGGACTTGCTCTACAGTCCCTAAATTGATACGTGGAATAATAAAGTTGTTGGGATGTTCAAAGGGTGCTGAAGAGATAAGTCGAGGTATGATAACACGGAATAGTTGAGTACGACAACTGACATCATATTTAATGCGCTGCGACCCCTCATTTATGACGAAATAAGTGATAATGACAAAACAAATAAATACGCATCTGCCAGCACCTGTCCTCTGAGAGTCTAGGCTTATTATCATGATGACTAATCATTAATAGTTGATGCACCGAGATGACGCGATCAGCTCATCCCGAGGAACTCTTCCCCTGAGTATTCAATACTTAGTTGATGTCAGATGCCAATTTGGGTACTCGAGGGAGGGGCATAAATGCTCTAGTATTTAATAGGAGGACACGTGAGTAGAAAACACTCATTACACGAAAAATGGTGTGTCAGATGTAAGATGTCCAGATGAGATTGAAGATCTTTAACAATCATTGTTAATTCAGGTATAAATACTCTTCAGAAAAATAGAAAAAAGTACGCAAACTTAAATCAGAAAAATAGTTCATTGAGCGAAACCCTTCGATCTTATACTGACTTAAGTTTCGGAGGGGATAAGTCGGGTGCTCGCCTGACCTCCTTTTTTTTAACCCTGTTGTTTCAAGTTCACCAACTTAGAGATCACTGTTTCAAACTATTACAGAAATTATCCCGTTCTACAGTGAAAAGTTTATTTATTTTTAGCATATCCATGGCAATAAATAACTCAGAACAAAAATATGTGCTCTGGTTTATATTCATTTTTCCACGTAGTATTGAAAAATTACCATAATAGAGTAATGTTATTTATATATAAAAATTTGATCTAATAATATATTTTTATTAAAACTATAATACGATCCATAAGTTAATGAGTAATTTTATTTAGACATAAAAATATGACATAATCTATTGAATTAATAGTCGGGGGATAAATTGAATAAGAAGATTAACCTTAGAATAAATCGAATAGAAGATCCTGGCACCCACAGTTGAGCAGCTAGCACTGACAACTTGAGCACCTTCTTCTTGAAGAACGCTGAAAATTTCATAAAACATGCAGCTCTTATTCGCCCCAGTTATCAAATTGACCTCCAAAACTGAACCCATATCTGTTATGGCAAGTACTGGCAACGTCAGACCACCACTCGGGCCTTCCATGGCAGTATCATCACCTTGGACTTGGAGTTGTTCCCTCCTTTTCCTCAGTTCTTCCAGATGGTGTTTCAGTCGCTTTACGTGAGAAGTGGCTTCATCCAACAAAGCAGGTAATGACAGTGTCTCCTGAAATTCACACAGAAATCTATACATATATATATTTATATATAGTATGACCCCTTAAATATATGTATGAACAAACACAGACGCAGAAGTTCTTAGTAGTTGGAGGGTTGGGTTGGGTTAAGTACCTCCGTGTTAGGTATGAGAGAGGCAAGCTGGGAAACAAGAGCTCTCATCCGTATTCTTCGTTGTCTTTCCATTTGATTTCGCCGAGGTCTAGATGAACTGTCCCCGGGATTCATGTCTTACTATTTGTTTTGCCTTTCTGCGTCCCGCCCTTTCTGACTTGGTAAATGCAATAACTAACCCAAGGAGAATATGTGTGGATATGAAGAGAGGACATGTCCTTATATATTCACCGACTTAGAGATAGAGAGGGCCTTGATTTGACAATGCTAACAGGATCTTGATGATGAGTAAAAATTATCCAAGATTACGTACAATTCGAAAGTATACCCCCGATAGGGGCCCGCATCATGACAGCGATATTTGGGTACTAGCTCAAGACTTGCAGGTCAGACGAATTACTGAGGTGACAGTCTCTGGCTGCCAAGCTCCTGTTCCTCTCTCAAACTTCCTAGGTCGGGAACCGCAGCATAAGAGTCAACACGTATTAATGTAATTCTCGGCAGCGACAACTTATAACTTACATCTTTTAAAAAGATTATGTTACACCTATTTAATATAATTTCTAAAAACTAAATATTTTCACACACGGATTATAGCAACATAAAAGAATCACGTGGATTACATCAAGGCCACATTCACTCCGAATACATAGGGACCGGTCCCTCACATTCGAGAGGATTCAATATTTGTGAATTGACTCTAAAGAACATTGTAATCGTTTATAAATTCTTTTAAGAACAAGAGACTATTAAAATAGATTAATTAAATTTATGAAGTGATAAACCACTATAAACTCTGTCTCTTTTTATTTCAATTTTTAGTTGTTACCTTTGTGTCGATTGTTTATTCTTCGAGAGCCTAATAGTTTTGAGTAGATATTCCAATGAACTCTATTAATGTCTTTTACGAAATTTCAATCCATTTTCATCTTTTTGAGCCTCGAACTCTGCAATGGAAACGCATAAATTAAACCATGAGACTCATTTAGTTGAGAAAGCCATGTCTTCGTGCCTGAGAGCGAAAGCATACGACGGCACTCACGAAAAGGGTCTGCAATTTCGCTTTCTCTTTCTCGTATCACAGCTACTATGATCATGACATATGGACGGCCTCACTCTTCAATAAAAAATAAACGAGAAAGTGAACTCTCGCACATATGATTAATTATTCTACCCATGTAAAATAATTGCTGTGTGTGCTGAATCTTGCACAATATAAAAACGAGAACAGATCTCTCCTTTGGTGAACTCGAGTGAATCGGTGGAGTGGTCAGCCACGCTGCTTGGAATAGCCTGTGAAATCCTGTGGTAACCTGAAACGGTAATGGGAGACCCTCGTGGATCAAAGGAACGATCCAGTAAGGCTGAAAAAAGATTCCTGGAACAAAGAAGAACAAGTTAGAAGGGTGCCGGAGTGTTTTCCGGCGTATCCCCTCCGACGGTCAAGTCAGTCTTTGAGAGAGAGAAGAAGAAGAAAACACTGAGTATGTATTGTAGCCAAGGTTTTTGTTGCATACCATCTTACCTTTTGCGATTAGTATTTATACCTCAAAAACTCATGATTGCTGTTAGTATAGTCAGTAGGTGATCATTAGGTACAGACAGTGTGCGCACTGATTTTGATGAAGAATGTCTTCTCTTTTAACTGCTCGGGATCCCGAGCAATCAATACTGTGTCATCGGTCTGCCGACTATTCAATGAGCTCCCCTCGGGGAAGACGCAATAAATGCCCGACTTTGGAGGCATTTATTGTCTTTCAATTCCGAGTCTTACCGCATTGAATGTAGTCTCATCAAGGGAATGACGTAATTAAATATTTGCTTTCCCAAGTCGCGTGTCAGCAAGACCATACGGTCTTTCTGTCTCTGATGTGACACAATATTCCACGCATCTATTCCTCATTGGCTGTGGCCCCTACCTTCCTGTGCCTTCTAACATCGATTGTGTAAGACGAGGTCATGATAGCTAACCTAGCCTAGCTTAGACTAGTGACCAGTGCATCAATAGCCTCTGCTGGAGCAGAGAACTTCATCTTGGATCGGAGGGGTACATCTCGGTACCGAGGGAGAGGTACACCTCAGAGCTGAGGAAGAGGTACATCTCGAAGCCGAGGAAGAGGTATATCTCGGAACCGAGGAATAGGTACATCTTGAATCCGAGGGGGGAGGCCTAGCGATCGATGTACCATATCAGACCGAGGGTACGTGTCGGTACATAAAAACGTACTGGATGCCACTCGATCCCATGATAAGTACCTCGGGGTAAAGGGGACTTATGACCCGATGGGTACGTGATCTCGATAATAAGGATCAGTGATACTGAGGACACGTGTCTTCATCTTAGAGTATTCCGAAAATGTCTCATCAATTGCTACCTATTTAAAAGTAGGGTAAAATAATTAGATTTCAAATCAAAATAAACCCAAAATTGGTTTTTAACTATACAACTCTTATTCCTTTGGTACGATTAAAAATTGTGAGAGAGATAGATAAAATATTATATTTGATAAAAAAAAATAAGAATGATAAAAAAGTAGTTGAATTAGTTTTTCTTTTAACTCATCGACCACTCTTCACACATCATATTTCATTTATAAAATTTTAAATATTTGAATAAATTTGATTTTAATTTGATAAAATTAAATATTAATTTAGTATTGATTTATAAAATTTAATGTTAATTGAATAAATTTGAATGTTACTTTAATGAATTAAATATTCATTTGATGTTAAATTAAAAAAATGACATTAATTTAATAAAGTTAAATTGATAAATTAATAGCATTTAATATTATATTTAATAAATTAAATTACTATTTTTATATCTAAAAATTAATTAATTTTTCAAAATTATTTAATCCTATTGATGGAAGACTTCAGCATGAAAAAATTTCCCTTCAATGGGGAGACCCAGCCGAAATGGTGGTCACATTCGATACTGCATTCACTCCTTTTGTCACACGTGGTTGCAAAATGGTGATCAAATGTGGGTATTTAAGATTGTAGCATATATATATAAGTTAAATTGTAATTTTAATTTAGAGGGAGAATAAAAATAAAATAGTCCTTCTATGATCGTGAACGTAAATTATTGAACCATATAAATTTTTATATTCTTTTTTTTATTATTTTATTTTATTTATTATTTGTCACACACACAAAATAGAACAATATTTGGGATAAGTACAACGTAGTGCTGTCCTGTTTCAATCAGTAAGGAAATAGACAGGGGACACGTGGAAGGTCTTGCATGTCCCCTTCAATGTCTCCCGTCAACTCACGCAATAAGACCTGTGTTATCTCTTTCTCATTGACCCCCATTTCGGCAGTGGAAACTAATCTAAGCCGAAATGGCATTCACATCGTCGTAAAAAGATGAGTAAGATAAGTCTTTACTTTTTGATAATAAATAATCCATCAAGAAAAGAACTAAATGGAAAAAATATCTGATAGAATCTAAACTCGTAAAAAAAAAACAAAAAAAAGATATATATTTCTACCCAACCTATTTCAGCCCTTTCTGCTCGAACTCTTCAACCCCATATATGAAGAGTTTTGGAACATATTCCTATGCGGATCACTTAATAATATGTGATCCGATGTTCAAAAATGTCCGTCACAATCCTCATGTACTCAGCACATGAGATTTTTCTTCACTTTTTTTTCACGGAAGTTAGCGTGGGACAACACAAGCTGCATGTGTGAACATGGAGGATTGAATTGACAAAATTTTGGAAGAATCTAGTCTTGATTAGCAATGAAGAGGTATGGGTTGAGTGAGATTTTCAAGTTTGGGAGAGAAATTGTTTGATAATGATTTTAAGCTATTAGATCGAACGAATCTCAAACACTCTTGTATTAAGCTAAGTTTAGGGATCCAAAATACATCATGTTCTATTATATAGATAGTCATTGCTCGAGAGAATAATAATTAATAAATTAATAAAAATAATAAACAAGAGAACTCCGTTAGATATTAATGGGACGGATTTATCCGATAATCTAAATCAATCCACACTATATTTTTCTTTAATTTTCTTCAAGTGATATCAATCACTAATTTATGTAGAAACCATTAATAATGAGTAGAACACTCTGACCATATATGATGGATAATTTACCCTTAAATAAAATTCAAACCGAATTCTTCGGTCAAACGAATATTTTACAGATAGTCATCTTTTGCACGGTAGACTCAATTTCGTCAAATATTAGGTTGTGGACTTGAAGTCATCTTCTGCACAAAACATGATGGATTGTACGTCATAGAAAACTGGGAATTCCACTTATGTGCGTGTGTGTGTGTGTATATATATATATATATGTGAATCTAACTATGGTACTGAAAAAAAGAATTGGTGGCGTACATTTAAATTTTGCTATTTTAATGAGTGTAGAGAAAACAATTTAAAATTGATCATTTTTTATGACACAAGTTCTCAGTAATTGTTTGGTAATTGTGTGTTGATCAATTTGTTTTGGGTGAAGATATATTAGTATTTGTATCTATTCACATGTTATTATGTTCCGAGTCATTAACTTATCAAAAAATAGTCATGAGAGATAACTGTACATATACTTTATAAAAAAGAAGTATATTAAATAACCAATGTATTGTTTTTGCATGACTATTGGACTCCTCAAAACATTTTTGTTAACTCTAAGGATAATTCAAGTAGTAACAGAAATGAGCTATAAAATCAGACATCTTGAATTCGAATCTTAAAAATTCTTTGGTGCTATGATATAAGGGATCTATCATTTATAAATACTCTAGTTCTAAAGTGATTTGCCTGCCTTTTATCGGACCAGATAGGAGATTAATCAAGATACACATAAGTTGATTGGGACACTTGTAAACGTTGAACAAAAAAAAAAATTGTGGTTCATGAACAGCATTGTCCTAATAAATTGCATGCTACCAAATGTTTTTTACCCTCTCGATTTTTTCCCTTCCAAATGTCCTAATAAATAACAACCCGACCCCAAATCTTTGCCCTCCTTCCGAATCCAGCGTAATAAATTGCATTAATTTAGGGCCAGCTCGATAAAAATTGGGGGACCGATCAAATCAATAGTTTTAAATATGGCCTTCCAAAATTTGATTATAAATATATAGTAGGACAAATTATACTTTACACTTGAAAGATTCAAGAA